TAGATAGTAAGATAGTAATCGAGTCATCTGAGCCAATGATGGGGTCAAAAGGTGAGGATGAGAGTGCCTATATTCTTGAATTTGTTGTGCCAAAAAGCAAAAATTACATTCCTCATCTAAAGGACGAGAAATATAGAGTGAAAAATTAATTACTTGGCCTAGTTCTCGTTGTAGCCCCACCACTGGAGCATAGCCGCAGACTGGATGCCATGTTAGGGGCTTAATTCATAAGTTCGAGATGGAGGCAAAAAGCGGTTCACGTCGTGCCGCTACATTAAATTAGGCACTTTTCGGGAGGCAACCCAGCTTTACTGCTTTATTTATTTTTGTTTATTTTATTATTTTTTTAGTATTGTTTTGTTTTGTAGGATTATGAGCATAGGAAGAAAAGTCACTGGAAGCGTGCAAAAGCGAGCCAGGTGGTTGGAACTAGTGTGAGGTACCCGCACAAAGGACCATCTATGGGAGAAGTTTGAGTATCCTGTGAGCTGCTATTGCTTCGGCCTTTGGTCTTTCAGGGAGTTTCTTGTCCACCCTTGTTATTTTTACTTTATTTGTGCATTGAGGACACTGCACTCTTTTAAGTGTAGGGTGGAAGATTCTCTATTCTTTCTATAGTATTATATTAGTATATTGTTACTTTCTTATCTTTTTATTGTTAGCTAGCTTCTTATTTTTAATAGCATAGTTAGTAGAATTAATGGTATAGTATAGTAGTAGTAGTAATTAAAAAATGATTAAAAAAACAGAAAAAAATTGAGAAAAAATTGAAATTTTATTTTTGGATTTTTTCCGACGATGGATCTATTGGACAATTTTCTTGAGGGATTAAAGTCCGATTAAAAATATCAAAAAGATTTTTTTTTATTTTTTTAGGTAGTTAGGTAGTATCCCTTGCCTTTTCTTTCGACATCGGTTCTTTTCCAAGGGTGTAGTTCGAACCGAAAAATTAAGTTTAGTTTTTTTTTAGGAGTAGGGTAAGGGAGAAAACCAAGATTGCTCTGAGGTACCTATTGACATGTTTGGTGTTGGCAAGTTAAGTTAGGGCATGCGCTCTATCTTCCTGCATATATGATTTGAATTGTAATGCCCAAGTAAATTAAGTAGCCTACTCTTTGACGCCTTTTTCTCAGTTGATTGACTTGTATGCCACCTAGTGCAGTGTTGCTTAAACAATTCTCAACTTGATATGCTTGCTTGACCTGAGAGTCACACAGAACCGTCTTGAGTGAGTCAAGTGCCATGTGTATGTAAGGATTATTGATATTCTGTGCTATCTTGTGTAGTCTAGAACTTGCCCTGTGTGTTAATCAATGCGAAATTATTAAGTTGTGCTAGTCTAGGAGATGACGTAGGCATTTCTTGCTTGACCATAAAGGTGTTTGTAACTGACAAATAGAATTTTTCCATTGCTATCTCCTTTAGCCTATAGACCGTTTCCTTGGCACCCACATTACAAGCCGTACTCCTACTTTGTTCTTAATGTGAGATTGTTGAACCTTTACCTCCTAAGGCACTTAGGAGGGTTAGTCACTATTCCTAAATGTATCCTACCCATCCCTTAGCCTACATTACAACCTTAAAGTTCTAATTGATCCTAGATTTAGCTAGCTTAGATTAGTAGAGATGTACACTATGGGCAAGCTTATGGTACGACCACGGGATGCACATGAATTCTTTGTGAGAGTGAGTGAATGTTGTTCAATTGTGTGATGTCCTTAATTTATGTTCAATGATATATTTAAATTTGTGGACTACTTTGATATTCACTCTTTTTTTTGTGGTGAGGGCACTTGATCTCATGACAGATTGGTGATATTGTACACTTTCTTGTGTTGGGTGAGTGCGTGAGTTGAAGATGCTTAGTGGTAACGAGTCGTCTCTTGAGGTAAGGTGGTTGTGGAGAGGTTGCTTGAGTTGATTGAGTTAGTTGAAAAACATTGAGTATACTTGGGCTATTTAAAAACGGGAAGAATGTGAAATTTGTGTGTTCATGCTTAATTGCCGACATCGATCATAGTCAAAAGGTAGGGTGTTTGATTGAGTTAATTGTGAGGTCCTCTTTCATAATTCTAAGCACGTTTTGGGGGTGCTAATATAGTTCCATTGCTCGAGGATGAGCAAGAGTCTAAGTGTGGGGTGTTGATAATCGGTTTAATGTATGCATATTTTGATATATACCGCCTCACATTTTGCTCATGTCTCGACGATTTGATATGTTTAATATGATTATTTGTGCTAAAATTTGGTATTTCTATGTGTAGGAATTATTCGGATGCAATTTGGGACGAAATGGCGCGAATTGGAGCGAAATCGAGACAAAAAGACAAAAAGTAAAATTTGAGGGCCACATCCAGCGTGGGGCGCTGGCTGTGGCGCAATTTACAGCAACCAAAATATTTGAGCGCCAGGGCTAGCTCCCTACGCTGCCCTGGATGCTCGAGACGGGAAAGTATCCTTTTTCGACTAAGACTCGGTTATTTCGACCCCTAGACGCCCCCAACTCATATAAAAGCCAACCTAAACCTATTTTTGAAGAGAAGGACGTTTTGAGAGAGAAAACACAAGCAAAGAGCTGCCGTGGAGGCCAGAATTCATCAAGTTCCATCTTTATCCTACCAAACTTAGTAATTTTTATGTTTCTTTGTATGATTTGTTATTTGGCTACCATGTCTATGTGGAGCTAAACTTTACATTCTAGGGTTGTGGTTCTTTCATGACTATTGTTATTCGGATATTGATTTTGACTTCTTGATTTATCATATTAGTTTATTTATTCAATCTTGC